AGAGAATTGAGAAGACTCGGTCCTTGTTGTTCCCTTTAGAAAATTTTCAGCTAAATTTGTCTTCTTGCAGAAATTTTGCACCAGTTTCTCCTATTGCTGGCAAATACCACAAGCTCATATTTTAAAACTAGGTTTAAGGCAAAACATATCACGATTTGTTTATAAGAGCCGTTGGAATTTGGAATAAATAAATAAATAAATAAATAATAATAATCTGAAAGGTGCAAGGGGTATTTATTTAACATTTTGTATGTTGCATTTATTTATTAAATATCACGTTCTTCGCACTTAAACCCTAAAATTCAGTTCAATAGCAATGTCGCAAAATAATTAAAATGAGCATATCTTTAGGATTTTCAATACACAGTTCCGCGCGCTGGAGACAAATTTTTTTTTTTTTTTTTTTTCCCGTAGAGTATTGCCATTGCTCGCGTTTAAATCGTTGAGTTCGTTACTCAAAAATTCGTTAAAGTTTTACAAAATATGAAATCGATCATAAAACAAATTCCAAATTTCAAATATGGTCTTCCATATGCCCATATTCGTAGGAGGATTGCGTCATTCAAAATATTCGATGGCTCTATGTACCTTTGTTTTATCACAATGCGTGAAATATACATACATTTATGCAGATTTTTCATTATTCAATTTCTTCAAATATAATGCAGGATTCTAACATTTAGTGGCAACAGTTTGAAAAGTGATTCGCCGTTTGTTGTGAATCGACGCAAAATCGCAAAACGAAAACAATAGTCCTTCAGGGACAAACTAAAAAGAAAAAAAAAATCCCACCTCATATGAAAATGGCGGCATTGGTTTTACTGAAGGACTGATATGAGCATTGATTTTCGGAAGAATGGTTATGCCGCATGGTCGCCACTTTGATGGAAGTCGCTTTCTCCGCTTATTCCGAGTCGCCTTCTCCGAAGTGAAATTCATAAGGGTGCTGGAACCCTTAAGCACCTCCGTAGCTATTCACTTAAATATAGACCCAACCACGGGCGTCTTGATGAAGGTTACATTCTTCTCAGTGTAAACTGAACTTTGTTAAGATGCCGTTACTCATGTGTTGATGCATAGTCGCTAACTTCCAGAAGGTGCCAGAACTTTTATTCAAATCAGCGACTGTTCACTTGAATCATCAAAGGAACGTAACGAAATCTTGATGGAGGCTTCATTCTTCATTACATATAAGGCCATAATTGTGCCGTGTACCTTTATATTATCATACTGAGACATGCTTGTAACTAGGCGAACAACAGCCAATTACAGAAAGGGTTCGGTATTTTTGCAAATGCCGGCATTTTTCGGTAAGTTCTGCCGAAGCAGTCATATAACACCCAGATATGAAAACGTAAGACTAGTGCTTGAAAACCACTAGAACTAGGAAAATGAACGATCCCTTTTTTAGCATTCTTTAAAATGCTACACTGTACCTGTGGTCTTCAGATTTTATTCACTAATGGATCCTTAGAACTCCAAGGTTTATTCTGGAAACCTCATCCTACCCTTAGAAAAATATATTTTAAAATAATATTTAAAGTAGAAATAATGTTATAGGTATTTAATGAAAAAATCTGATGTGTACACCACATGACTTCCTTGTACGAAATATTAAATTATGCACATTTTTTCTTGCATTTCATTTAAACTTATTGGAATAAATTAAATGTACTTCGTCGATAGCGCATAAATCACAATAGAATAAATGCACTCTTTAAAATTCACTATATTTGTTTACCATAGCGACACTCTGGCGCTAGGTTCACTTAACAGTATTATATTTTCGTTCATATTATAACTCAGAATGCACAAAATTTATATCAGTTAAAGAATTATCTAATCGTTGCCACATGTTCTATTCAAATACTATAATAAAGCTAGAACGATGTATAAAAGAAATTAAGCAAACAAAACAAAAAGGAAACAGTTTTGCACAGACGATTGAGTATTTCTCATTCAATGAATTCAGTTCTCACTTCGCGAAAAGGCAAAAATACATAAAAACTCAAAATATCTGTATTAAAAATTACGAAGAAAATTTTAAACACTTATTTCCTCGAAAAAAATTCCAGAAAGGATTAACTCTTTGAGGTACAGTGTGTCCGGTTTGGACACATCTAAAACTTAACTTCTGTACGCAAAGAAAAATTGAATAAAAAAGGATTTATAGGTTACTTTGAATCTTCTTTATTTATAGTAGATGGCAGCTCAACACAAACCAGTCCATTTATTTTAGCCATGCTTAGTTTTTTAAGACACTCATTTTTCAAAGAAATCTTCCAGATTTTTTTTAGTGTATAAAAGGAATTGTTTGAAAAGAAATTTCTATGTTATTTTTTGGCTGTATGCTAATCTCCTTATTGTATATTAATTTAAAATTTTTATCTTGAAATCTTGCCTAAAATCAAACGGCGAACCCTAGGTGTGCCCAGACCGGGCTGACCGATAATCTAGGAAAACTGAGAGTCTGTATTCTTTGTTTCTCCGCATCTCATCGGTCAGTTCATTGACAACAATGTTCGGTTCAGCACTCTTTTCAAAGCTGTATTCAATCAGTGTGCCACTTTGGGCACACGCACAGAATTAAAACGATAAGTGCTATCTTCACAAAATTTTACTTATGCACTCCTCTAGGCCTAATTAGACTGCCTACTTTTTTTTTTTTTTTTTTTTTTTTTTTTTAAACAAAACTCCGACTTTAAAAGGTAGAGTGCCGGAAAGGGTTAAGCATGATTTAATTCGCAGTAATAAATGAAGGCGTTATCTTTGCTGTTGCGAAGCTAAGTCTCTCTAGATTGTCAACAAATCTACTATTCTGCTGTTTCAAATGTAAACAAACATGTCCGCCATGTTATTTTAAAAATTAGGCTTAACCGCACTTAAACAGCATTTAAATTGTTGATAATTCTACAAATATTGCTTGCAGATTTCAATCATGTCTAAAGAAAAAAAAAAAAAAAAAAAATGCACAATTTACAAACATATAAAAGTAAAGAAACTGAGATCACTGAGTCGAGTAACAGAGTGGATATATATATAAATATATTTATATACATTTGGTGCGGCCGATTACAACCAAAATATGAGGTGCACATCTACATGTTATAGCAGGCCTATATACAAAATTTCAACGTTCTGGGGCTACTCGTTTTTTAGTTATGCGAGATACCTACGTACGTACAGACGCCAGAAAACTTCTCTTCAGATTTCATTTTAAAGCAGTTTTCTAATTTTTTTGGAGGAAAAGAGTGCTTTATTCTGTTCTTACGTACAGATGTCACGCAAAAATATCGTTTAATTGCATTCGATAGCGGTCAAAATGGATACTTTCTTTGAAATATGCTGCCTGAAACTTTTCGCGATTACAATACTTCCTTTTTACTTCGTACAAGGAAGTAAAAACAAAGAAAAGTACTGAATACTTTTATTAACAAAATTTAACGTAAAACTGATGTAATGTACTCATTAATAACATCAGCTCATGCTCCAGGTGTGACCGTGTCCTGTCCAACGTTCAAGCCTTGTTTTCAAGAGTGCGTTCCACACCACAAGCATTTTTTTTCCCTATTCGCCCGGTTTTTACTTACTTATAGGAAATAAAGGGATTGCAATCGGGAAACTTTCGGGTATCATATTTCAACAAAAATATCCAGTTTCACCGCTCTGGAATCTATTTGAACGATATTTTTGCGTGACGTCTGCACATACGAACAGAATAAAGGCTTCTTTTTCAAAAACGGACTAAAAATGGTTGCAAAAGGGATTTTTACGTTATGTCTGTATGTACGTATGTAATGTATGTATTTCGCATAATTCAAAAACGATTATCATTAGAGACATTGAAATTTCGTGTATGGAACTGCTATACCATCTAGTTGTGCATCTCCCTTTTTTACTGCAATCGAAAGAGCTAAACGTGTATGTATATATATATATACTAACACCTTTACTTGGCTTAAAAGTCTTTACACAGCCTATATTTTCACTATTCATTGGCTACTATAACATCCAGTTGTGCATCTTCCCTTTTCCATTGCAATCGGCAATAGCAAAAGTATATATATATATATATATATATAGAAAGAGGATATATATATCTTCATTTTTGCGGTGTATCAGCTTTCAAATAATGCGTTTATGATTATAATGCTTATGTGTTATATATATATATATATACACACATTATTTTATTTAAACTCTTTACTATAATTTCCTATTTTCCAAATAAACGAACTCAGGTAAAAAAAGAATTGAATTAGAAAAAATAATTGCGGTAAAACAAATTAATACAATTAATAATTTCAAATAATTAGTAAAAGACATATAGATTTTCAATCGAAAAACAAGAAAGCTATTAAGCTAAACATATTGAATAGTCTTTTTTCTAGTGTTTATTATATTTGGAAAGTTGGAAATTTAAAGTTCCTGTAATGGCAACATAATTTAAAACATTTGTATAGTTATTAAAATTCATTGAGTAGTAACATGAATTAAGTTGTTATTTCTATTTTTATTGAATCGTAAGACTTAACTTTTAAAAACCTATGTTTATTGTATTTTAAAATATTTAATATATATCAAATATGTATGGAAGACGTATGAATATGCTGTTTAGAGGCGAAGAAGAATTTCTTTTAATTATAAAAATTTGGATTTTTGCTTCAAATTCAAAATATGCGTTTCGATTCTTTATTTTCTTCTAGCGCCTTTAAGTTTAAAATTAAATAAATTACATATAATGTGTGCTGATATTGCGCATAATATTTATTCTGTTTGAATTAGTAAGTCAGTAACTTTGTTTAATAATTAACTCAGTTCTTCTTCGCTCTTTCTTCTCTCTCTCTCTCTATATATATATGAATGATTAAGATATACTGATTATGAAAGCCTCACCAGAGGTTCAACAATTTGTAATATACTGCATTAATATTGTTTTGTGTTTGTATTTCAAGTGAATTCAGAAATTTTATTATTCCCCCTTTTTTTTTTTCTTCCAGGATTGGCTGGCAAGTCAACAGTTAGTGATTCTTGTAGTCGTTATCAACATCGCCTTAGGAATATTATTTTTCAAGGTCATTTTATAACAAAGGAAAATGAAATTTCCGTTTTCTGGTGCTCTCCTTGAATTCCGAAATTCCATCTCATCGTTTCTAGGACATATTTCCTGAACATCGTCTGGCGCCATTTTCACAGAAGTAAAGAAAGAGAAAAAGAATATTTCTTTCTTCGAGCTGAACGCCTGTCACGAAAGGATATCGTCGAAAAGGCGCTGTAATTATACTTTTTTACAGATATTTTGGCAACATTGAACCATATGAAATCTTTATTAAAATTCCAGATCTCTTATTCACTAAATATCTTCAGTCTCCTGAATTATTTTAATAATAAATGAAATTCGATTAAACAAAATTTGCATTGATAAGTTCATAAAAGCGAGGAAAATGTTTTTACAGCTGAAATTATTCAAATTTATCATTTCAATGTCAGATTAATTGCTATCTAAATCTATTGAGAAACAATTGCTATTAAAATATTTTTATATACTACGCATGGATTGTGAGAAAAAACTATTATGTTCTAATCTTTTTATTTTTTTTTTTTACAAACAACAGTACATACAATTATTTTCATAACATAATGATTGAATAAATTATTTTTCACTTTAGATATTTATAAAATTTACAAAAAACGTTCAGTAGCAGTATGCAATCAATTTAAACAATAAATTGTGTTAAATAAACATTTTTAGAATGGCCTTTATTGAAAAATATGTAATCTTTCGAGCCTTATAACTGAATTTTGTATATATAATTATTCTTGTGGATAGTTTTTGTAAACTGTCAGAATTTTTGATAAAAAAGCAACTTCCAGTTGAGCTGATTTCATAACTTTCATATTTTCTTCGAAACAAAAAAAGACAAAGTATTTCCTTGAAGGATATTTCCTAAAATTCTTCATGCCGGTATGTACCATATTTGTAAAAATATAGTAATTCAGAAGAATTTGGTACTTTTATGAAATATGTATCTGAAAATTATGAACAAAATGTCCATGTATAAAATATTTTCAAAATTTGTCTATTGTATTTCATTATATTTTTAGAATACAGAGCATGAACGTTGCAACATTAACATAGGCAAATATTTTAAGAAAGAAACACCAAACGAAAATATCAAGAAAAAAAATGTAAAAATTTGAAAGCTTTCAGATTTTACATTATGCCCAAAGGGGCGTTTTTTTAACGTTTTATGTGCTACCTTTATTTATTAAATATCATGTTCTTTGCGCTTAAACCATAAAATTCAGTTCAAGAGCAATATCGCAAAATAATTTTTCAATGAGCCTATCTTTAGAATTTCTGACGCCCTAAAAATAATTTTTTTTTTTTTTTTTTTTTTTTTTACAGTGTTGCCATTGCTTGCTTTTAAATCCTTGAGTTTGTTAATCAAAAATTCGTTAAAGTTTTACAAAATATGAAATAGATAATAAACAAATTCCAAATTTGGGCTTCCAAATGCCCATATTCGGGTGGAAAAGTACGTTATTCAAATTTTGATGGCTCTCGGTACCGTTGCTTTATCACAATGCGAGAATCATAGACACATTTATGTAGATTCTTCATTATTTAATTTCTTTAAATATAATACAGGGCTTTAATATTTGGTGGGAACAATTTGAAAAGTGAATCGATATTTATAATGAATTAACACAAAATGCCAAAACGAAATTAATAGTTCTTCTGAGCAAATTACCCCTTTGAACTAAAAATAAATTTAATAGTTTGAATAATCACAAAAAGAACAAGAATCAAAGAATAATAATAGCAGAAAAATCGAAAATTAATTACAGAAGAATAATCGCGAAGCGATAATAGAAATGAAGAAATAACAAAATAATAATTGACAAAGAATGGTTAAAGAATTAAAAAAAAACAACAAGAATAATCAAAAGAATACTATTAGTGCTTTCAACAGCTTCGGTTATACAGTTTAATAGGGAAAACCAAAAGGAGGACGAACAATTTCGTTACAAGTATGTGGTCAATGGGCAGTATAAACCTCTTTTATTAATTAACGATAATCGTGCAAGTATTCATGAAAATTATCAGTCAGGTACATTATAAAGCAAATATACTTTAATTTATATTAATCAAATATATTATTAAAAATAAAAATTTAAATTATAGAGAAAATATTTTTTTTTTTTTTTTTTTTTTTTTTGCTTTGAATTCTTTCAGTTGTTAAGCAGTTACAGGTTGATTAGGAGAGAGATAAATAAAGTATTTTATATTTTACTGAACACCAAGTTTGACAACAGGAAGCCATGTAGAAGATAGTTCGTTTCGTTTAATGCAATGGCAATATTGCCAAGACGAGCGAATGATATGCAGTACATAGAAGAGTAACGCAACGCAATGACCCAAAAATTTTGGAAAGACTCAGTTAAGGCGGTTTCTAATATCAAAATCTGCTTTTCAAAGAGCAGAACTCCAAATATCTGAACTAAGATCATTTTATATTCAGATACTAGAAAATAACCTGATAATTTGCTTGTCTTTTGATATTAGAAACAAACCTTAAGGAATTTGTTCCAAAACTTTTGGTTATTATATTACGTTACGTAACGCCTTTATAAACTTATTATCTTAATTATCTATTTTTTAAAACTAAATTAAACCTTCAAATAATGGATTTATATACCAAATGTAAATAATTTATTATTATTACATTACGTTACGTAATGCCATTATAAACGTATTATCTTAAGTGTCTATTTTTTAAAACTAAAAGAATTAAAACTTCAAATAATGGATTTGATATATACCGAATGTAAAAAATAATTTAAATATTAAGATATCGGTACATAATTTTAATAATAAGTAACAAGAACGAAATATTTTTAGGTTTCCTTTATATTTAAATTTTGGACTGTATTTAATGTTTAAAAAAAAATTCTCAGTGTTTATTGTAATCTACAGTCTCAGAATCAAATTAAAAAAATTACTTGCGTCACATTCTATATTTCTGCATAATTTCTTATATTTTAAAATATTAGTGTCAAATATCTTGGATTTCTTTTTTTTTTTTATTTACATTACATACCATATATTTGCACGTTTTTTCATATTTTCAAATTACAGTACAATCCCTAGTAATAGGCGCCCACTTAAGTGCCAATATCAAAATAACAGCATTTTTCAAAGTTCAGATTTAAATACGAAATTTATGCCTCTGATATAAAAATGTATGTTGTAAACTAACTGAAGACTTAAATGCTAACAGCACTTGAGTTATATTTCTGCAACCGAACGGATCGAGCCTTATCCAACTAGTGAATCGGAAGTATTCTCCAGACTATAAACTATTGATTCCTTTATGCGTCCATGCGTGAACTTTGAATATAATATCCACAATTTACGGAAACAATTCAATTTGAAGGGCAGCCTATTTACTTGGTCTCTTTCCTGGAAAGATATAAAGAATATTACTTTACGCTGCTGTTGGTGTAAACTGGGGACCTATGATCACATTCGTAGATAATGAATAGAGTGACAAAGATTCTGTTGCTTTTAAAATACGTCTGAAGCTGGTGTCAAAATCTTGGATTTACTTATATATTCAGAGAAAAGTAGTGTTAATAGAAAGAAGTTTAGGCTTGGATAGATGTAAACAGCTCTGTATCTGTCATTCTCTCTTAAGTTGACAACGAAATAATCGGACATGCAATGAGAAAGGAAGAAGATGAGGAGGAAGAGGAGAATGAAGTTAAGAACAACACCGCTAAGCAAGAAAGTTACATGGAAGGAAGCTGACGAAGAAATGCAGACTTATAATTCCCCGAGGAATATTCATCTATGTCCATACATGATGTTATGAAGCTTTGCTGTATATACAGCAAAGTTTTAAAACTACGGTGATATCTTATAAACAGACATTCCAAAGTTATACACATTATACTATAAAAAATCTTAATTTCATGTGATAATAAATATTGTAATGATACAAAATTGTTTAATTTTGTTTCTAAGTAATTTATACAATTTTTAATATTGTTTATTTTATTTTGGTCTGATAGATCAAAACGACTACCGGATTTCACATACTGCAATTTCTACAGATAGCATCACAAAACATTAAAAAATTTAAATTGAATTCTAGACTTATATATTCAGTTATCTGGAACGCACGGTCCCATTGCTGTCGCTTGAAAGAAATTCGACTGTGTATGCATTTAATTCTTAATGGTAAGCACTTCTTTTGAGAGTTATATTGTGAATAAAAAAAACCACATTGATATTCTTTGTAAAAGGGAAAAGAACTTGCTTAAACATTTGTAATTGTTATCCGCTCACCAGTAGAAAACTCTTACTACTTATAAAACACAATCGAATGGGAAAAAAATTAACGCAGGTTGTCAGGCCCGTCCCCCACGTGCATCCTAATACGTGGCATCTAGCCAATAGGATTCTGAAATCACTGTAGAAGGACGTGGCACAATTCCAGACACAGTCTCAGATTTGCACTAACGTCGCTTACCACAGTCTAAGGTTTTACGTGCGCGTGTTAGCTTCCAAAGTTAGAAAAACATAATTGTACCGCGGACATGTTTTTTGATGTGAAATAGTTTTCTATAAGCTCTGTTAAATAGCAAAACAAGAAATACAAAAGTTAAAGCCTCAGGCAATATTCGTTACCAAGGTGTCTTCTCTTAATATTTTCAACATCACAGAGGCAGTGTACATTTCATGTAAAGTACATTCCGTGCAAAATATTTTGGAAACTCGTCTCACAATTCAATATTTTTCATTCGAATTGAAATTTCATTCAAAAAAAATAATTTAATTGAAGTTAATTAAACGAGAGATCATTTCTCCTGATGAGTCATTCAGTGATATTTATGTCCGATCAGCTGAAGAATTAATATTGAAATCGCTTTAAGAATCACGTCAACTCTTTCATCAGAAACCTGTAATATAACGCGGTATAGAGTGTGTCATCCGTCATCGGTGAACCTTTGTGTTGCCACTATGCAAAGCGCAAGATTTTTATGATTCCGGTTAATCAGGAATTTCGGCGATATAGAAGAAATGCGTTGCCACTTGCAATATATTTGTATTTTGAGTTTAATGAAAAAAAGCAATTTAAAAGAAATAATTTGAGACTGCTCGATTTTAAATTTTTTTTTTTTTTTCACGGTGCAAAGTATTGTAATTCAGAAAAACGTAAGATAGTTAATTTTTCTTCCAAATTAGTTACATTATTAATTAACAAACTGGTCGGTTTAAAATCAATAAACGGAGATTCATTATAGTTATTACTAATTATTAATTGGATCCGTGAAAGGGCTCTAACCGTATTCATTAAACTTAAGATTATTACTCAGTTTGTTTATTTCTGTGTGTGTCTAATTCGTACAAAATTATAGTTTTGTTTAGATCACAATAAAATTTTTCACACCTGACCTTCAAAACAAGAGGAAGATCACTGTCTACTGATTTTGCAAGATTTTGGAAAACCATCCTAACTACCCGTCCTCATTACGGGGCGTTTATATTAGAACGTTGCACCCACCTCATCTATTTTAGTTTCTCATCGCCTTCCCGTTGTCAATGGAAGATATACATGCTAAGCAAGGGATTAAACATTTCTTTTTTACTATATATATATATTTCTGCACAGTTTCAGTTTTGAAATCTCTTTACCCATTTTAGGTTCATATTGCCGTTGTTCTACTAGTAGCTGATCGGCAAGATCGCTAGGCCCTGATACTTTGATTTGGGTTAAAATCTTTACAAACGAGCTGGCTGTATAAGTGTTTTTATGAATTACCCTATGTGTACCATAAATACGAGTCAGATTACCTTAAAAAAATCTCCTTAAAAGCAACCTCCCTCTTTTACAGACAACTATCGTATGTTTTGCCAAAATCTATTCAATTACATTTCGCCAAAAGCTTACACGGTGGATGTTTTCCCAAGGCAGTCTTTAGGCTCAAATATTAAATAAATTAGATTGGATTACTTATATTACGACAAAGCCGACGAGTAATGTTCAACTAAAGATTTTGTTCATAGGG